TGCCAGCCATCCATAGTTTCTCCAGTACTAGGATTCAGACAGGTAAAACAGTCAGTATACATTTTTATGATCTATCTGAAACTATTTTTGTATTAATACCAAAGGTACATATTATTAATGAAATATTATATGTTCATATTATATTTCTTATTTACAGTAGCTACTTACAAGCTGGAGCACGATACTACACATTTTCATGTACTTAATCATATAATATATATTCTCTCTCAATACATGAATAGGGGATAATACGTTATTTGAGTGGCTATAATGGCGATTATCAAATTTCTAGTTCTGATCTCCAGTATAGACACGAAAAACAACGAACTATCCCCAATCTAACACACCTTAGCAAACATACTAGGCTAATAGGTTTAGAAACATTTATTTCTTTGCTACAAGTACAATGTAAAGTAATATGTGACCTGTGCTGGCGATGTGTCATTCTACAGCATTCTCAATCAGAAAGAAGCTTTCAAAAGTCGGTCATTTGGCCCGCCCCTACTGCCGAGCGCTCGATCTGTATGTTGACGGGGCGGACTATTTAGATTGTTCGTGAACGTCCTTTTACCAAAGTTTATACGACACATTGACCAAATTCTTACATTACCACGTCATTATGCATGCCAATCTGTGCGTATCGACAAAATCGGTGATGATTTGTTTAAATTTGCGAAGAGTTTTGTGCAAAATGCATACAACACATGTAAAATGTTTCATTTGATTTCGGATCTAACTAGGTGTCTTCACACGGATGGAACGAACATTTCAGTAATAAATGGGGGTAAGAACAAGGAACGTTTACTTTATACTTTTTAATTTATTCAACAAATACATTTCATCAGGACTTTCTGTTCTGTTGACTGCTTGCCTTATCAGCGGGATTTTGCTAAGAGGCGAGCTTGACGCCATATTGTTTTGGTTAGAAACGGGGCGTGGCTCAAGCGCGACGGGAGGAGCTTAACACGATTGATCATGATTCTATCGCAGTTGAGAACATGGTCCGTATCTAATCAAAACACGCGTTGAAAACGAATCGTGCTGTAATGTAGATAATAACAAGAATCAACTAAATTTGTATGATATAATAAAACATATATAGCAAAATACTGTTCATCTATAAATAAAAATTTATAAAAAAGAAATGCGCATTATATACATTCTTATGTGACTACTCGTGGCCTTCAGTCTATTGACGTTTCTTCCTATGCATTGAGGGTATATTCGTTTCGTTTAAGATGATTTATATATTATCGTTTTTTATGTAAACCCGTACTTGACACCACAAACGTATCGACCTCTTGTAATCGTCATCCGTGGCACGTCCTTACGTTTGTGTCCAATTGGAACAGTGAACATGTATGGGTCTGTAGGTAAAAACATAAATATTGCCACATTTCCCTGATTACGTACATGGCAAACAGCAAATATGCCTCACAATCATACTGCATACAGTTTAACTCACAAAAAAGCGATCGCATTTTCAGGCAATGCTTTAGAAGTTTAGATTTGGCAAGTTATTGGCCGGACATATAGAATGAAGTGTCATTAATGACCCGTACTTTCTTGTACACTGCCTTCGACCTCGGTAGATTAAGAAAGATTGATGTAATTTTTCGAATAAAATCTCAGTTGCCAACTCGATACAGAAACAAACCCAACTTTTTTGCGAAAGTTACAAAGTACTTTTGTGCAAACGTTTTGGGTAAGTAAAGTAATGTTCTGGCTTCCAATGATTTATTATCTGCGTTGTTAATAATTGAGAAAATGTTTATCTCTTTCAAATCATCAAACAAGTATTATTATCTTATAGTTAAGACTCTTGTTTGCCCGGATGGAACTTCGCACTGGCCTTTATGTAAAAGCAAACGAGATAGAGGAATCGAACTTTCGCCGTCTTGTTGAAATGCGATTGTACTTTCCCATGCGCCAAATTAACATCATCTGTATGGATTATGAGAACATTAAAACGTTGATAGAACGTCATCAAATGTCTTACTGTTAGAAAAGCAAAAGCCTTGAACATCGCCATAAAATTCCTTATCGTATTAAATAATCACATTCTATAAGATCACCAGTATTTTTTAAAATATAATACCGATGTACTTCTGTCTTTGTAGGAAAAAGCGATGCAAGCTGCAAAACAAATGGGGAACAAGGACACTGTTGAGATCATTAAGAAATGGCAGGATACACAGGTTCATATACAAATTACTTTTGTATTCCTTAGTTTATATCAAAGGTTAAAGAAAGACTATGCTTCGACTAATGTAACAATCTTCATTTAAGTTTCCTGAAATAACCATAATCATTTCATTATTGTAAAATGAAAACTTTATGATGTTTTGTCTCATTCACACGATTGTATTTAAAATCCTANACTGACAAGCTGTGACCTAGTTTCATTCAACTTTATAATAATGTGATATGAGGTTGTATTTCTCCAAAAATATTGCTATTCAATTCTAGTTTGGAGTAATCGGCCACAAGTTTATCCTTGCTGACGAATTGGGTGATACTTATGTATTTTTCCATCTGTCGACAACAAATCAAAAGCAGTGCCCGACACTTACCTTCTGTTTTGAGGTTAATGTACCAGCATGTCAACACAGAAATAATAAGAAGTAATGATTGATAAAAGGGTGCGCTGGTTAAATTTTGCTGAAGAGGCTTAATGCTGCAACCTTTCAGGTCACGAAACTACATGATATATAATACGATACACTGTGTTGTTGGCATTTGAACCTGTTGAAATTACTAAACATACAGCAGTTTTGAATATAATTTCAAAGGAAGAACTAAATTGACCCCAATGCGAAACTAGTAAAACATATCCCGAAACAGACTTTTTAAATGTAGGTTAAACTTTATATATCGACAAATGTAATATTGTATCAAATTCCATTACGCAATGAATCGAATTATTGAAAACATTAGTGCAAAACAACACCAGAACCAGATAAAACATCGTTCTTTATACGCAACAAGTTTACATACTTTCTTATGCAAAAATTATTGTAACCCGATGGAAAATCCATCCTTTGATCGCAGTCCCGTGTAACATATACACAAAATGTATAACAGAAAATCAACTTTTATAAGTACAATTCCGAATGATGTCCATTGATTTTAAATAATAAATGGTGTAATTTCTGAATTGTTAGTTGATCGAATATCCTTTGATACCTTCACTACAACGGAAACGATTCCATTGATCATTGTACTTGTCTTACCAGAACAGTCAGATTACATAACAAGTGACATTTTACGTTGATTATGGTGATAACATGCTCGGAAATTATTTGTTAAAGACCAGTCTAGATTTTATACTTAGTCATCAACAGTGTTTGCGTTACAATCACACCGTATTTAAATCATACATATTTATATACGTTTATTATAATTTGGTAAAAGAAAGTCACACGTCACTTAAACAAACATTAATAAGGAAAATGCAAAGTGATGTTGGTGACCCGATAATCAGTCTATGAGATAAACATTGATCTGAATCCGTTAGTGTTCAAAAACGTCATTAACGCGTAACAAATTTATCAATCTATGGCTGTTTCTAAATAAACCACATTCAAATTGAACAAAAATAATGATGTCACAAATAATGCATTTTACAAAGCGATACTGCAGACCTGTTATTATAACATTTTATCTTGTAGTGCCTTCTTTGTATCGAAATGATTTAAACATTAAAGTGTATTTATTTGCTAATTACCTTAGATTTATTAAATTGATTACACATATTGACCAATACCCGTAAAAAATATTTTCAAGCAAAATGCCTTCTTACGATGGTATAATTTTTCAAAGTGAAGGCTTGTTGTCATTTACATCCACCTGATGGTTTTATAATAAATAATAATTCATGGGTTACTACGGTAACAGCTACGGCAGCTCTGGTTGCTAGGCTAATATAATTCGAATGAAATTACATCGATACATGAGTACGGAACACCCCGTTTAATGACATACAAAATAATTTAAATATGTCCCATTAGTATGACGGTTATATTACGACACGTCCTGTACATGTGTACTGGTATATGAAATTATATTCTAACAAACATAAATGATCAGTGGCGGACCCAGGAGTATTGCTCTAGTTGCCCGGGCAACTCCCTTTTTTCTGTGTCCAAAATAATCTGGACAATACAATACCAATAACAGTATAAATTTAAAATGTTTCAAAAAACAATGAAGCACCCTCCTTAGCATCTCTTCATTAGGCGACTTATAACCGATGTTAGCTTAAAAGCTTGACGTGTACATCCTTTTCATTAGAATCATTTTTAATATAAACAATTTATTATTTGTCAGGGTGTTGCCCTTGTTCAATAGACAAACAGACAGTTAAATCATAATTCATATTTATGACAAAACAAATTAAATATTAAATTGCCAAAATGCTTGCCTAAACTACATGTACATTTCAAGTTCTAACTCAAAATCTTTATTACCTTAATTCTTTCAACTCATCGATTGCAAAGTTACAAAGTGCATTATTTACAGTGCAGCATTATCAGCTAAATCTACAGAAAAAAAAACCTAAGCTTTGAAAAAGACCATTTAAAGAGCCTGACACAAACATCAACATTTTGACCAAAAATCCACATTTTACTATTTTGTTTTGTTTTACAGACATCAAGTTTAAAAAAATTTGGTTATAAAATATAATTTGGAAACTCAGAAGACTATTCTACACCTCACTCGATCTGTTTGTCAATGAAAATGTGCCATAAATTCTTGCTTTTCTATGCTCGGCAGTGCTTGAAACAGTATAGTAAAACATCTTCAAAAACAAAAATTGTTTTGCCTCGCTCCGCTCAGCAGTGAAAGTATCATTATTCCAATCTCAGATTAACGGAGTTCTAGATTTTTGTTGGTAGCAATTAATATACAATTCTTATATATAAGTACCAGATAAGTGCTAAAATATGTCTTTTCCCACGTTTAAAATGTTGGGCAACACCTTATATTAATTCCTGGGTCCCCCTGTTCCGTATATATATGATGGTTAGAGAAATACAAAACATCTTGTTTGTTGATATCTGACACAGTTAACACATACCCTCTCTCCATGGTGGTCATACTAAAAGGAACTATAATAGGTAATATCCCCTATACTGTTAAAATATGTTTCCTTTACAAGACGGTTGTTTACTGACATCTAGAAGTATCTATAGTCCAACTTGTCATAATGAGTTGTTACGGTGGTAACTACGCCAGTTTCTACGCTAATAAACTTAGAGTGATCTACATCTATATATGAGTACTAAAAATTCCCAAATACGGTAAATTGAAATAATTTGATCATGTCCTTTATGCATGACGATTGACATACTACGAAACATCCCGTATATTGACATATCAAACAATTCCAACTTGTTACCTATACACGAAAGTTACATTGATACGAAACATTCTGTACACGACGTTAACACACCGACGATATTATACAGATAATGAGTTATCTAACGTTATATAACACATTGTATGAGGTTATATCGTCAATATGTACATATTACAGCCTGAACAGACTCTACATAGACCCAATGAAGACATCAACACTTCAACGTCAGAGAACCTGGTTCCACTGCCAGAACCAACACATGATACCCCAGGAGGTAATACTGATCACATGTTAAGTTTGAATAAATTTACAATGATGCAGAGTTACCAAATTGTATCATGAATTGACTTTTAAAATCAATTTGTGAACTTCTTAGGAACATTATCCCATCTGATTAGAAACCGATTTTGATTTTGAACTAGTTGACGACTTTATAAAACGTTCTTGAAATAATATTAAGCTATTTGAAAGTTGTTGGTATTTTAAATAATATGAAATATTCAAGTTGACGTTTGTTTTTTTATCTTTATGTTTGTTTCATGTTTTTATTTTGCATTTATTTTTTGTCGGCCATCTATTGGTCCTTATGATCTCACCTACGTTGATAGGCCGTCATGCATGCTATATACTTACTCCTTTTGATCGATTGAATGTCCTTCCCTCTTTGGTTTTTAAATACTTGCGGTATTCATTTAATTGGTCGCCGAACACAAATAAGAATTGAACGCTAATACTAGATTATGTTACAACCTGATCAGGAACGTCGGCTTTATCCGACAGTTTATAACAGCTGATGCATGTAAGACTTTGGATAATTCACTTGTTACCCCTATGTTGGACTATGGTAATACCCCGCTCTGTTGTTTCCTTGACGCACTAAATGGTCGTCTGCAGAGGTTAAAGGACACTGCACATCACACCAGTGCTTTACTTATTGCATTCATTACATGTACGATACAGATCGCAGTACAAACCTTTGGCGTACACATACAAGGCACATACTGGAACGGCTTCCTATCAATTACGGGAGCGTATCCCATGTGTAAGCCGCCGCAATCACTTCGGTCGGAGACAGGATCCTTGTTGTGTGTCCAAAATTCTCGTACTGTGACGTATAGCAACCGGTGGTTTGGAAAAGCTTCGGTCAAGTAAGGAATAGATTACCATCTGCTACAAGGAAGTCAAAAACTGTGACTTTATTCAAGAAGAATAAAAGGACCCGCCTTTTAACGTCTGCATGATAGGCTGTTTTGCGCAGATCAATATATATATGCTGATATTCAAAATCACCTGAAGAGCCCGTAGATTGGCATATCCAGGTTTCCACATATTTGCATTGACCCAGCGATGATTTCTTCTTCATATGTGAATTTGATGCGTTTTGTAGAATCTATGGTGTTGACTAAGGGTCAAATCCTGCTGTAGACACTTTCTTGATTCTCTAGTATGATGTCATCATATCATCTCTAGAAGTGAGCACTATATGCGGACACCGGTTATCGCTTCTTGTTTATTCCTAAAACATACTATCAACTATGGACGATACTGGTCTACCCATTACTGTGCCGAAGCGTTGCTGATTGATAATACCTAATTATTGTCCGCACAAAAATCCGTATTTCCGTAATCTGGACATTTTGTGTTCCGCCAGGAGCTCTCTAAACCTAATCGGATTAAAATGTAATTACGTTTATTGTCGATGTTGAATCATGATCGTGGACATGTTGCTTGTCTGCATTCGTTAAGATTTTAAAACATAAAGTTGTATCCTTCTGCAAAGGACACCGCTAGACTGAGCTAAATACCCAAGACCCACAAACAACAATGAAACCCTCTCAGACCTATTATGGACAATACTAGATCCATTGATTACAAGTTTTCAATGTATTTAGCAGACATTTTTTGACCGCTATTGGCAATTTACATTGAATCATTCCAACTCACTTAGAATAACAAAACAAAAAGATTCAAAAGGTGTACAGGTTGTTTTTTTAACAAATACCGTTAGTACTTATGATATATAAACATTTGACCTCGATAACCTTAGATGGTATTTTTGTAATCCTGTGTGTATGCTTGCTAATTATCCGTTTCACATAGTGTTGCTGCTGTCAACTACATACAAATAAGAACGTCACCAATATTTTTAACTATTTCAGGGACGGAAAGGATGATTGAAATTGTAAAGAGGCAAAACCTTGAAGACTTTAAAACGTTGGAGAAGAAGTTGTCTACATCAGCGGTTAGTGTACTCCATATCGTAGCTGTTTATGGCTGCTCAGAAATGGTCGAGTGAATGAGGAACTGGGACGGTATCCAATGGGATGAACAATGTGAACTCTCCGAGATCATATCTGAGGATGCGTTGGAAGAAATACCAGTCAAGAAGGCCACTGCATTATACATAGCAACGTCAATGGATAAAACCAAAATGGCACGTTCTTTGATCAAATATGCTGGAGAAGACAACATCCGATGCTGCTATCAAAACATCCAGCTGAGCAAGTCAATAGAAGAAGTATTCATGCACGATCGAGTAGGGAAATTGGAAATGAAACATCGTGACCTTGACCCTGTCATCGTTCCAGGTCATCGGGTCGGTAAAGATAGAAAACGTGAACGAATCTTTATTGTGTATTCAACAGACGTAATGAGGCCAAAAAGTTACGGTTTAGATGGACTTGGTTTAGTTTTGATCCGAAATCCGTACTTCATAACAGGAGATTTGAAATCTGATTCTGAGAAACATATTGGAGTGTTACACGACAAGAAAAAGCCACAAAAAGCTTTGTCGATTCACAGGAAGAGGCTTTGGGAAACGCATAGCAATCTAAACGTAATACGTATACATTCTGTGACTTATGGAAACAATATAGAAAAGCCTTGTATTGTACTCTATTGTAGTACAAAAGGCGTAGTGCCACTCGGTGAACCCGATTTTCCAAAACGATTGGAAATAGATGAACATGACTCAGTTGATGTAATTGTACGTGATGGGTACTTTAGACGTGGCGTCGGGTACGAGAGAGAAGCAAGTGTCGCCTATCACAATACTCTTAAAATGGGATGCAACATTGGACGGTTGACACCCGAGGAAGGACAACAACATTTGAGTGGCACTCTTGGTCCATTTGTAAGGTTCAAAGACGAAGTTGGCTTCCTCACGTGCGCTCATGTTCTATTTCAAATAACAAACCCGTCAGAACGTTTCAACTTTCCTGATGGTGCCAGCAGTACCGTTGAAGTGGTCCAACCTTCCATTGACATAGAGCATCCTCGCTCAGCATGCGGATTTGTGCAGAAAGCTATTTTTGACCCAACACGCAATCCTAGCATTGATGTTGCTGTGGTTCAGTTGACTGACGATGAAAGGAAACCAACAGCGGGTCAATTTGCAAATGCTAGATTAAGTAAATTGAAAATTGCAGGTAAGGTAAACATTTTAATGTTTTACTAAGCAATAACGATTACATTTTTTCACCTTTACATTCCTCCAATAATAGTTCACCAATCTTAAGAAATATATTGCATATGCAAATAAGCTGAAATATTGAATTGAAATTGTTTATGTCAATCATTGCTTTTTCATTTTATTTTTTGAAATAATAATAACAGACATATAAGCTATTCATAGTAAATTGTAATTCTTATTACAATAAATAAGTAAACCAATTGGCAATCTCTCTGTTCTCCTGACTGATTGTTCCCGTTTTTAGTTTTATCAACAAGTGAGTAAACTCCTAGTTCTTTTTGTTATTTCGATGAAGGACTTTATTATCAAGTCGACTCTCCTTCACTTGATTGTAGGGTTTGACGAGAGCAATTTACCTGAGTACAACAGTGGGTCTTATGAAACACGTTTGAATGAGTTATCTCGATCGCAGATAGCTTTCAAGTTTGGAAGCTCCAGTGACGTTACAAAAGGAACGGTGGACATGGACGGCATAGATGTAAGGCCGTTATCAATAGACGTTACTCTTCCAGAATGTCACAAAACGGCCTTCATGCAAAATCAGTGTACAATTTCTGGGAATGATCCAGAATTAATCTTAGGTGGAGACTCGGGTGCACCAGTGTTTATGCGAACCATAACCAATGTGCTAAGTTGCATTGGAATTGTTATTGGACAGGGATATCTTCCAATTGACGGAGTTACTAAAGTCTACCCAGTAGCAGTGTTTACACCCATCGGTGCAGTGCTGCAGGCACTTGGTGACGAGTATAAGATAGCTTCTTTCACTCCGACCTAAGAAGCTCAAAAATGCAAAAAATATAAGGAAACATTTTTTTAAAAAGAGGCACCGATCGTTAAATGAAGTCAGTGTAACATATATTTTGAAGAAAACAGTTGTGATTTGGGTTGCTTGGTGCTTGAGCTGGAGTTGAGGGTTATTCCATTCACTGATCAGGATTTTTTACATTATTTCTCGTACACTCCAGGAAGAGCTTTTACTATGGGTCAGACAATTATTTGTTGGTATAATGATACATGTTGGTTGACATGGTGTTATTCATTTTGTACTTTAAGATATATATGCATTGACATTTTGAACTAATTTGTTAAGTTTTTGTATTCAAATTTAATTCGATTACATAGTAAATTTCCAAGTATAGTGAGTGGTGATGATACAATGATGTGCGCTTGAGTGATACAGTGCTGTTCTCACAGTGAGAGAACATAACTAAACGACGATGCTTTATTTGTTGGCTAAGTGATAACACTGTTTTTCCTTACAGCGAGCGAAAATTTAAGTGAGCTTTAAAGATTAACTGTTGTATCCAAAGTGCATGTATCTTTTAAGATGATTAAGGTGATAAACATATGGCTAGCTTTGCGTGTACAATTAAAAGAGCCTTTGGTGGTAACATTTCATTCGATGTGTTAATTTGTTGATAAGGGTAAAGACGTGGCATGTTTTAGATTTATTGTTTTTTTTTACTTGCTCTGAAGATTTTTTTTTTTTATTATTTTATTCTTTTTATTTCATTTTTTATCATCTTGATGTTTTTATTTTAATCATATTTGCTTTTTCTACTTTTTGGGATGGGACAATTTAATGATCAATTGATGCATTATAATTTTTCAGTAAATGACATTTTCACTAAATAAACATATTTGCATTGATGCCAACAATTTATAAATTGTAATTGTAATTATAGTAAAGTCGGACAATTAACATAAGTGATTAGCTATCATATACCTTTAGGCAAATTAACCTTCATAGTTAAAACAGGTGAGTGACCCTTTATCTTGCATAATTGTATGTATATTAATATTTTTTAAACAGTTTTTGGTAATGCTCACTTTGTTATAGTAGGCCAAGTGGTCAACTATTTGTGCTTGCTATTCTATAATATATACACGGGGGTGTTAGAACGTGATAATGTTGAATTTTAAAGTGCTTTTTTGAAACCTAAGTAATGCAACTGTGGTGTGTGCTTCCTTGTCTTTTAATTACATTGTAGTGTTTCAACAGACATGACGGAAATGCATGTGTATTATCTTATATTCATCAATAAGCATATTTCATAGATGAGGAGAACCAACATATATCATTACTTTTTACTAGCATATTATTTGTTTCATTGATGGCCACTATTAGGTAACGCCATGCGCTATCAATTGGTATGTATTTCCTTTATGTTTACTTTTTCTTTTTCCAACAGAGTATCTGTCACATAAACTGCACAATGTCGTTGGTGTCATGATAGATCATGAATTAGATGTTATTGTTCAATATTTAAGTATACCATTATTTTATTACAATACTTTGTTTTACTTTTAATTATATCTTTTAAGAAATCAAATGAATTCATTGTCAACAGATGCTAAATTGGTCCATTGTTACATTTCCTAATGCTTTTAATTACGAAAAAGTCTGCAGCAAGATTGATAATCTACCATAAATCTACCCGTGTTGTCATTTCGTATAAAAAAAACACATTTGTTTTGTTGACACCCGAAAGAATACGCTTTAATTATGTATTATGTACTTGTATAATGTGTTTTTATGATGTGACCTTATCAGAAACACGCCATTCGCCGAGATGTGAAAATTCCAGGTATCGAACTGAAAGAAAAACGTACTGTAAATAACGCAAGTAACATTAACGTAGGGTCATAATGCGTGTGTATAGCTGTTGTACATTATATCACTAGTCAGCTCTCTATTCAGCAATCAACTCTGATACCGTTAATCTTTTATCAGTACACCTACCGTAAAGATTGAAAGTTGAGTATATAAGTGGTTACAACCACCAATCGGCATGTTTAAAACATACCGATACAAAATTAATAACGAACATTGTACCTTGTTTAGCACGCTTTTTTTCTTCCAATAAAATGGATAAAACAATCATTATCGCAAAACAGAGGCGAATCGTAAACATGGGATTCCCCTTTTCTCATTCCATAAAATGGAATGAACTATCATTACCGCAAAATCGATGCGAACGGTATCAAATCGCACAATAGCGTTTTACATGAGCTTCCCTTTTGATAATTCTACTAAAAGAATTGACCAGTCATTACTCCAAACAGAGGTAAACTGTATCAATTCGCACACTAGCGTGTAGTGCGGACATTGAATGCACGATTGTAATGGTATTGTGTTGCTTTGTGTGGTCACAAAATGTTTATATTTCAAAAATGAAGCATCTTGATGTTAAGTGGTCGATATTTTTAATTACTTTTCAAGAATTTGTAGCATTTGGCAAATAAGAACTATCAACATATAATATGTATGACCTATTCTCTGTTATTGTTCCCAATGAACGACAAATATGTCAAAGAGAAACTTCCTATAAGAGATGATATTCATATACCGATAAACTTCCCTGCATAGAATAAAGATTGTATGAGTCTCATGTTGGCATTTTAAGCAGATGTTTTAATGTTATGTATGTATTGTTATGTATTTTTATTACTTTGTATTATGTAATTTGGTGATAACATCTATATATTTGTAAATAATTGAACAGCCTGTCTTTTCGTTGTTAACATGTTATGTAGAGATTTCCGATATAGAATCCCACCATAAATGAAAGCAACATCATATGATGCAATCCAGAGATAGTACATACATTACACCGAATTAATTACTGTGTGTATGTTGAAGAACTGTTAGTCTGGAGAAAATATTTGTGTATGCTCAAGACCTGCATTGTGCATGGTAATATTCGTTGACGCTTACCCTTTCGAAACATTCGGTTTTCTTCTCCCCGTACGTTTTCAAGGGTTTCCATGTAAATAGAACTTTTATTCCTTTTTTGTTTTTTTATTGATTTTGAGTTCGAGTGTGGTTTTATTGACATTTTGGTATTTTTTTGTATTTTTTTCTGTTAGTCGAAATTATTGTCACGATCATATATATGTACTCTCTGAGTCCCGATTATTTTTTTTATAATAATTCCATGCGTTGTTGGTTAAGACATTTTGTGTATAAAAACATGATGTTTTTCCCGATTTCAGTGTTAGTCCGCATTGTTGTTGTATGATTTTAATCTTTTGTAGAACACCAGCTATATCAATTTTGTATTTGCAAACTGTAATATTTGAACAGCTATCAGTTTGTAAGCGGATCAGACATGCGATTCTACTTTAATAAACCATCATTCAATAGACATGACCTGAATTGAACATGATCAGGAACCAACATAACATTTAAAAATAAATAATAAAATGTTTAATGATGTATTTGACTTAAAAAAACCCATTTTATTCGAAAATTTTGTAAAAAAAAATATCTTCGCAAGGTAGGATTCGGTAGAATAGTAGGACCTGTTGATCAGTCAATCGGTACGAGTCAAATCTGTCAACATTCTTGAGTTTACTTTATGATCTAATTTGAAAACATGTGGAATGTAGCCAAATGCAGTTTAACAACACTGTACAAAAGCATTAATAAAAGTATTCGTTTACCGCAGACATGATAGGCACATTGAAAATGATAACAGGTTTTAAAGTCATTGTAGAAGATATCAAGTAATGTGTACACAGTATATATGTTTGAAACACGTCTACACGTATTCGTGAATATTTACCCTGTTATTTTTGAAAATTGAACGGCACGGATTCCGCCGACAATGACAATTTCACTTACTAAATGTGTAATGACTTGTTAACGTCATTTCAATTTTGTCAAATTTTGTCAAAATAACAGTTAAGGTCTCTTAATGATCGAAATCCAAAACTAATTAAAAAAAATCACAAAACTATTAAATACAGCATTCCGTTCAATTTGGGTTCGAGTGTGGTTTTATTGACACTTTTGCATTTTCTTGGTTTTTTGTGTTAGTCTAACCTATTGTTATGACCATACACGTACTCTATAAGTCCCGATTATCTTTTAATCATAATTCCACCCTAGTTTGGGATTGTATGTGTGAATTTCTTATTAACCCGAATTCTTTGTATATATTTTAATATTGTTATCCTGGACATGTTTTTCTATGATCATACGCTGTTAGTTAAGACATTTTGTGTATGAACACATCATGTTTTTCCCGATTTCAGTGTTAGTCCGCATTGTTGTTGTATGATTTTAATCTTTTGTAGAACACCAGCTATATCAATTTTGTATTTGTAAACTGTAATAATTGAACAGCTATCGGTTCGTAAGCGGATCAGACATGCGACTCTACTTCAATAAACCATCGTTTAATAGACGTGACTTGAATCGAAAAGAATCAGGAACCAACATAACATTTAAAAAATAAATAATAGAAATGTTAAATGATGTATTTGACTTAAAAAAACGTTTTAGTCGAAAATTTTGTAGAAATTTATCTTCGCAAGGTAGGATTCGGTAGAATAGTAAGACCTGTTGATCAGTCAATCGGTACGAGTCAAATCTGTCAACATTCTTGAGTTTACCTTATGATCTAATTTGAAAACATGTGGAATGTTGCAATAGCCGAATGCAGTTTAACAACACTGTACAATAGCATTGATAAAAGTATTAATTTACCGCAGACATGATAGGCACATTGAAAATGATAACAGGGTTTTAAGTCATTGTAGAAGATATCAAGTAATGTGTACACAGTTTATATGTTTGAAACACGTCTATACGTATTCGTGTATATTTACCCTGTTATTTTTGAATATTGAACAGCACGGATTCCGCCGACAATGACAATTTCAGTTACTAAATGTGTAATGACTTGTTAACGTCATTTCAATTTTGTCAAATTAACAGAGAACATTTAAGGGTCTCTTAATGATCGAAATCCAAAACTAATTAAAAAAATACACAAAACAATTGAATACAGCATTTAGTTCAATTTGGATTCGAGTGTGGTTTTATTGACACTTTGGTATTCTTTTTTTTTTTTTTTTTTGTTAGTCTAAACTATTGTTATGACCATACATGTACTCTGTAAGTCCCGATTATATTTTTATCATAATTCCACCCTAGTTTGGGATTGTATGTGTGAATTTCTTATTAACCCGAATTTTTTGTATATATTTTAATATTGTTATCCTGGACATGTTTTTCTATGATCATACGCTGTTAGTTAAGACATTTTGTGTATGAACACATCATGTTTTTCCCGATTTCAGTGTTAGTCCGCATTGTTGTTGTATGATTTTAATCTTTTGTAGAACACCAGCTACAACAATTTTGTATTTGTAAACTGTAATAATTGAACAGCTATCGGTTCGTAAGCGGATCAGACATGCGATTCGACTTCAATAAACCATCGTTTAATAGACGTGACTTGAATCGAAAAGAATCAGGAACCAACATAACATTTAAAAATAAATAATAGAAATGTCAAATGATGTATTTGACTTAAAAAAACATTTTAATCGAAAATTTTGTAGAAATTTATCTTCGCAAGGTAGGATTCGGTAGAATAGTAAGACCTGTTGATCAGTCAATCGGTACGACTCAAATCTGTCAACATTCTTGAGTTTACTTTATGATCTAATTTGGAAACATGTGGAATGTTGCTATAGCCGAATGCAGTTTAACAACACTGTACAAATGCATTGATAAAAGTATTAGTTTTCCGCAGACATGATAGGCACATTGAAAATGGTAACAGGTTTTAAAGTCATTGTAGAAGATATCAAGTTAAGGTGTACACAGTATATATGTTTGAAACACGTCTATACGTATTTGAGTATATTTACCCTGTTATTTTTGAAAATCGAACAGCACGGATTCCGCCGACAATGACAATTTCAGTTACTAAATGTGTAATGACTTGTTAACGTCATTTCAATTTTGTCAAATTAACAGATAACAGTTAAGGGTCTCTTAATGATCGAAATCCAAAACTAATTAAAAAATCCACAAAACAATTAAATACAGCATTTAGTTCAATTTGGGTTCGAGTGTGGTTTTATTGACACTTTTGTATTTTCTTTGTTTTTTGTGTTAGTCTAAACTATTGTTATGACCATACATGTACTCTGTATGTCCCGATTATATTTTAATCATAATTCCACCCTAGTTTGGGATTATATGTGTGAATTTCTTATTAACCCGATTTTTTTGTATATATTTTAATATTGTTATTCTGGACATGTTTTTCTATGATCATACGCTGTTAGTTAAGACATTTTGTGTATGAACACATCATGCTTATCCCGACTTCAGTGTTAGTCCGCATTGCTGTTGTATGATTTTAATCTTTTGTAGAACACCAGGTATATCAAATTTGTATTTGTAAACTGTAATAATTGAACAGCTATCGATTTGTAAGCGGATCAGACATGTTATTTTACTTTAATAAACTCTAATTTAAAAGACGTCACTTGAATCAAACGTAGTCTGGAAGCTACATAACATTTCCAAAAAATTATATGAACGTTCAATGATGTATTTGACATAAAAATTACACGTTATTTGAACATTTTGTAGAAGAACTCAAATGCTGTAGAAATTCATCTTCGCATAATTAGGTTCGGTAGTGTGGTAAGACTTGTCCATCTTCTTCAGTTTTCATATGGTCTAATTTGAAAACATTTGTATTGATGCCGAATGCAATATAACAATACTGTTCAAAAGAATTGAAAATGACATAAGTTTTTACCCAGACATGATTAGCATATTGAAAATCTTGATAGGTTTTAAAGTCATTGTATAAGATATCAAGAATAAAGTAGTGTGCACACAGTTTATATGTTTGAATTAGGTATTCATGTATATATACTCTGTTATTTTGAAAAAAATTACAGCACCGATTCTTCCAGCAATGACAATTTCAGTTACTAAATGTCTAATGACTCATTAACGTTATTTCAATTTTGTCATATTTACAGATAATGCTCGAAATCCATAACCGTTTTTTAAATGCACAAGACAATTAAATACAGTATCAATATTTTATATTATAGCATTTTTATATAAATAATTTAAATTTATACTTTGTTTATTTTGAAATTTATGTTTTGTTCATTGAGTATATAATGCCATGACAGCAGTGAAATCACAGTCATATTATGTTAAATAAATAAAATCGAATTTGTTGTTTGCTAGTTAAGGATATGAAAGAAAATTATGATCTAGAATAATTAACTGCATTTTGGTAATTGATGTCCAGATTTATAAGAACTGTCACGTGGTATTCATCTATTGTTCTAGCTATGATGTCACAATCAACTAATGGCATGAACGGTTGGTCACTTCTAGTCTCACAATAGATTGTACTAGGCGATGATGTTATGGCAGTACTTCTTCTTATAAACAATAAATTTAAATAACATAAATAGCTTTTAGACAGATTTCCATATCAACGCACAGTCTTGCTCTGTCAAAAAACTCAAATGTTCAAATAAGTAAATCATTTTCAGTAAATGATTATCTCATTCAATTTTTGTACTAAGCCGTTGATATAAAAACTATCGAAAAAATATATAAAAGACCCTATAATCTTATCTACGTGCTTTTGAAAAAAATACTCCAAAAAAGACCATTTGTTCATATGAATTACTCACTATCTGCTCCCTAAGGGTCAACACGTCAACAAAATATCATTTAATTTCCTGCGTCGTGGTACTGTTAGCATACATATCAATTTTTTAGACATAGTAACCAGATACAGTACAAAACTGTCATTGTTTGATAACTTCCTTCGTGTCAGATTTTTTCGATGTTTGGCAGTTTGGCAAAGAAATTTCAAGACCGAGGTCAAAGTGAAATCGAATAATTAAATGTGGAAATATTTTCCAGATAATCTTTAAATATATATTTTTGTTTCTATATTTCATGCGCCTTTTAGGTAATCAAATTGTCTACAATTTTGACACTTTTTCTTAAGAGTTTATTTGTATATTGATATGAACTACATGCAATTCTAACATATTTCTTGATAACATAATTATAAAATTAGAACTTAATACCGATGTTCAACTTCAATGCTGAATAATTGCTAACACATTTAATAAAAAAAAATCTAATTCAATCATATATGTTCTTTTTCTTTTGTGTACGTCATAATAACATCTATGGTCATTTAATGACGTGCCAGGTTTTGGTGGCGGAAGAAGACGAAGTATCTGACCTGCCAGAGGCCAGTACCTTGCCTCCCGTAAGCCTGTAACCAGCAACACGGCTTTGGAGAGCAGGTGATCATAGACGGTCAGATATCTTAACCACTCGGCCATCGCGAACACGTTTTAATCGTATAAGCTATCATATACCTAGGAAATGTCACAGGTATTTGTATAATCACAGGTGATAGACATTAACTCATCAAATGTTCTCGGATCACATATTTTGTCATTATTGTTTTCAGTTACATTGAACCCGATTACATTGAAAATCTGTAAATGAAGGTTTTTTTCATTCCCCATGACCACTAACTACTTTAAAACAATATCAGTTAGAAGGGTAATGATCAGTGGCCAGAATTAATAGCCAGGTAAGGTAAATAACAGGTGTGGAGACGCGACGCGTTTGTACTTGTTATGTCTCACTCGATTAGCTTGTCAATGATTCCGATTCGGGTGACTAGTCGATGTAATAACATTTTACAAACCGTTCTCGGTAATTTACAGGTACAGACTGATGTTCTTGACGATCTGTTCGCTTCAGTGCGTATCATCAATGTGCTTTTAATTCAATCGCAATCTCGTAAATAGTTGTGTATGCTGGACTTTTTTCCCATCGTATATCGGTCAAAATTGTTGAAAATACCATTTGTATGCACATTTGTTTAATACTTGCGGTACTACGGATTTGTCATTTAGAGTGTTGTCGCTACATTACGGAGATATTTCTAGGCACGGTAATGCATATTTCATTTCAACAAATTTTATTGACGAAGATGATACAAGTCAATTGGATGGAATAACAGGCAAAGCCTATATAAATTCTCTCCAGCGGTGGCTAAATTAATGGATTCTATTATTGTTATTTGATTAAGTTAATACATCAATTTTGAAATGAAAATTATACAAAAAAAATATTAAAGGGATGTAACTCCTTCTTAATTAACATAACTGAAATACAAATACATTCACACTTCTCACATCACACACAAAACACTTCCACAGGTATTATTTATTTTTATAACATTTTATAATTGTATATAAGCTATATAGCTATCAAATCACACAGATATTGCCAGACATTGACCAAAAGTCCATGTGCAAATATATGCACAGGTCACAGTCGCCAAAACTGTTAAGGTATTGTAGTTTAATATGAAAATAGATAGCTAGTCTATGTGTAATTCAATGTATAAGATGGAAACTGTAAAACAAGACAGATTGAACAAATCTTACAACAAACAACAACAAACAAACATGCTCAACTTAAAACTCCTATGTCCGTAGAAGAATAACATTTATAGAAAAGTAGGTAAAGTTACTTATTTGTGGAGTATAATTGGAATAGGAATAGTAAAGTATAAAAGTATAAAGTATAAGGTCATGGCTGGTTAGATCATATAGAGATTAAAACGCCTAGATTTACCAATAAATAACTGTACATCATTAAGTAACTGTCTGTTTGTTAGTCCATCACAATCAGGACAGCCTTGTAGAAAAATGTTTGTATCAATATGGTTATGATTTCCATAATTATCAACAGAAGTAAATAAAGTAAGTCTGAGATCATTATACAATGGACATTCAAGAAAGTAATGGAAAACTGTTTCATATTCAAAAGAGCAAGCACAAGAGGGACAGTCAGTTAAATGGTCATTGAATAAATCAAAATTTAAATTGCTACATAAGTTTCTAAGTTGACAAAGAATAATGTTGGCCCGTCTATCACCTTCAGTTTTAAAAATTAAGGTTGATTCATTATCGATAATAATATCTTTATTTAGTTTGTGTTTAAAGGTTGCAAGAGTTGGGGAGTTTAAGAGATCATTATCAGTAGTGTTAGTTGTGCGGCACATTAGAGGGAGGAAACTGTCAAAATAATTGTTAGTTCTGCATATTGGTGGATTAAACAGTCTTGTTTGTCTGAGGAAATAGGGATTATTGTTTTGATTGTTAATGAAAGGATTTAAGACATCTTGTAAGTATTGAGGTGACAGCCCATGCATTATTTTATACATCATTATGTGTTTGTGTTTATTTCTTCTTGTTGACAGAGTTTCCCAACCAAGTTCATTATAAAGTTTATTATGAGATGTTCCAGATCGAAGTCCAGTAATGATTCTGGCTGCTTCTAATTGAATAGATTCTAGAAGTTCTTTAGATTGTTGAGTGCAATTATCCCATACTATGTCTGCATATTCCAAAATTGGCCTGATAAATGCTATATAAATTTTAATTAATGATTTACGATTGACTTTAGTTTTAATGTAACGAAGAATATTTAATCTACTATAAGCTTTTTCATATATATTCAGAATGTGTTGATTCCAAGATGCATCATCTTTTAAAGTCAGTCCTAAGTGTGTATGTGCTGTTGAGTCAGTGATTTGGCTGTTTTGGAAAGTTATTGGAGGGTGATGTTTGTTATGTTTTCTAGAAAATATTACAGATTTAGTTTTGGTAGGGTTGAACTTGATGTCCCATATACCTGCCCATTCACCAATGTTAGAGAGATCATTTGTCAGAACTTGTGCTGCATGTGCTGGGTTTTCATCTATAATTACATATAAGGAGGTGTCATCTGCAAAAAGCTTAATATTAGTTGAAACATTGTCAGTGATGTCATTAATATAAAGGAGAAATAGTAAAGGTCCCAGAACAGATCCCTGAGGTACCCCTGCATTTATACCCTTAAACTGTGAGTGATAACCTTCAGTGGTGACTCTTTGCAATCTATCAGAGAGATAATTTTCAAACCATAAAAGTAAATTTCCATCAATTCCATACGTTTTAAGTTTATGTAAGAGACCTTTATGCCACACCCTATCAAAAGCTTTGCTAATATCACAAAAAATAAATCTGAGCTCCTTCCCCTGGTCCATATTGCTAACAATTTCATTATAAATAAATAGTAGTTGATTAACAGTAGAATCACCTGGTATAAAGCCAGACTGGTGCTTAGTTAAGATAGAATTTTCTATTAGATAGTTGTAAAGATTTTTGAAGACAATTTTTTCCATTATTTTACTGAAACATGAGGTTATTGAGATTGGTCTATAATTTAAAACATCATTTGATGAACCCTTCCCTTTATATATAGCATTTATATTTGCTTGTTTCCATCTATTTGGTAATATTCCTGATTCAAGTGTTTTATTAAATAAAAGACAGAGGGGTAATGCAAGAGAGTTACTCAATTTTTTTACAACTTTAGGGATTACACCATCAGGGCCAGGGGGTTTATTTACATTAAGAATATTAATTTGGTCAGATACATCTTGTTCAGTGATATGAATGTTAGTTAGTGAGTATGGAGTATAGGGCTGTGCTGTCTGAGGTAATTCAAGGTCAGGGGATGACGAAGAGATATTAGTAAAGTGATTGTTAAGGATTTCTGCTTTGTCAAGAGGATGGTGAATGAATTGGTCATCATGTTCAAGAGGAGGAATAGAAGAGGATTTATTGGAGAAATTAGTAATAGATTTTGCAATTTTCCACCATTTGTCTGGGGAGACCATGTTTTCATTAAGACAATTTTCAAGTTTTTGGATATAATTTGCTTTTGCCTCACGAATCAAGTCAATAGTTTCATTCCTGAGTATACGAAATCTTTCCCAGTAGTGCGGATTATTTGTTACTTTGGCCTTTCTATGAATTCTATTACGTTGTCTCATTTTCAGCCTAATAATGTTATTCATCCATGGCTTATCATTTGGGCGTACAGTAATAACTTTGGTAGGGATGAAACTATTGACTTGTTCTATGATTGAATTAATTATGAATGAGTTAAATGCATCAGAGTCCAGATTTAATGACAAATTCAACCAATCAATATTAAGAAGAGCATTATTCATACTTTCAAAATCAGCTTCATCATATTTCAAGATAGTTTTCTTATAATTCACTTGTTTAAATACAGTAAAAGAGATTTGGGCATGAACTGATGAATGGTCACTACAGAATGGTGGTGATACATAAGTATTTTTAATTAAGTTTAGGTTGTTAGTAAAGATGACATCAATAGAAGTGGCACTAGCAGGTGTTATTCGTGTAGGTTCCTTAATAAGACTAGTTAAGTTGTGCTTTATAAGGAGTCTTGATAAATGATCATTAAGCGGTACATTAAGCATATTAATATTAATATCACCTGTAAGTATAATATCCAATGAAGTATCAGAAGCTCTTGTTAAGGTATCATCAAGTTTATCCCAGTATTCAATATTACTATCTGGTCTATATATACACCCGAGAAGAAATTTATGAGTATTAATTAAAACTTCTAACCAGAGTAATTCAACATCATCCCTTTCCAAGTCCAGCCTTCTTTTTGTTACAACAGTATTTTTATGATACACTATAACCCCACCCCCCGGACCAGTAGTTCTATCTTTTCTATGAGGAATTGGATTAAAGGGTTGTACTTGAATGTCAAAATCAGATATCAGGGGATTTAGGTGAGATTCAGTTATACATAAAATATCATTATTTTCAAACTCGGCTTCAATAAGTGGGGTTTTATTTCTGAGAGATCGCACATTGAGATGAACCAGATTCAGATTATGTTTAGGTCCAGGATTACTTTCGATGTCACAACAACAGGATAACACTATAAAATGCGAAACAAGAAAGTAAGACATATTGATAAAATAGGTAAACATGTCAATTAAGTGTAAATAAGAGTAATGAAAGCCATGACATAACTCCATACAAATATGTATGCGCTTAGAAAACTGCCAGTGATCAACCGTTACCATAGTCCAGAAAACCTGGAAATCTAATATATTACCCATTGTCAATGTAGAAAAAGCGGGCAGAGTGGGCTCGGTCGATCATCCAGCTGTTGAAAATTTCTTCAGGCGGGACATATGAACAGTAGTTGAGCAAGAATGTGAGATAACAATA